TCAGGAAGAATCAGAAAACCTGAATAGGCCAATAACAGCTGATGAAATAGAAGCAGTAATTAAAAAACTCCCAGCAAACAAAAGCCCTGGTTCAAACTTTACATGGAAGTTTTACCAAACATTCAAAGAACTAACACATATTCTCCTCAAACTATTGTTAAAAAAAAAAAAAAAAAAAAAAATCCGCCGAAACCGGTTTGGCTCAGTGGTTAGAGCATCAGCCTGCGGACTGAAAGGTCCCAAGTTTGATTCCAGTCAAGGGCATGTACCTTAGTTGCAGCACATCCCCAGTAGGGGATGTGTGACAGGCAGCTGATCAATGATTCTCTCTCATCGATGTTTCTAACTCTCTATCCCTCTCTCTTCCTCTCTGTAAAATATCAATAAAATATATAAAATAAAATAAAATTTTAAAAAAAGACAGTAGTGACTGGGATAGAGCATTAATGGGATCCCACAAGATGATGGATGAAAACAGGAGAAATGAGAATGATGTCAATTACTTGGGAGGATAAAGTCAATGACAGCTAAGATAAATACAGAGGAAGGGACAGATATGGGGGAGATTGCTGTGCTGAGGTTGAGATATGTAATTTTGCTGGGTCTGTGGGAACGCTAGAGAAGGTTAGACTGGCAGCTGGCATTTGAGGTCTGAGGCTTGGGACAGGTCCAGGATAAGAACTTTAGAACTGAACGTTATTAGCTTATCAGTGGTAGTTAATGCTAAGGAAATGTCTGTACCAGTTGGTAGGACAGGAGTTCTGTTATGTGACTCCTGATTACACAGCTTAATGTTCACCTTAGTTTTGATGGGAACCTTCTTCAAGATCACGTAGAGTTCTGAAGACCAGTGAAACAGCACAAGACATCCAAAAGGTTCCCAGAAGGGAAGGCTCTCCCCAGCAGAGGTCGGCAGGGCCATCTCCCGCCCTGAGGAGCAGCCAGCCCAGCAGCTCTGCCATTCTCAGGGTGCTTCCCGGGTGTGGGGCCGTCAGAAACATCTGGATGGACCACCAGACCAGGCAAGCCTTGTTTCCCAGGAGAACCAGGAGGAGGACGATGATTACCAGATGCTCATGCCAACCTTTTCCTCTTCCGATCTGAGCTCCCGCCGACTGTGCAAAGAGGGCACTTCCAGTCACCCTTGCAGCTGGCACCTGAGACAAATGGAGTCCAAAGAGACCACCAGCTCTGACCACAGAGTGGTCAGGCGGGCCAGCAGTGTTGGCGAGAGCAACAGGTGCCCTCCGGAAATAAGAATGCGGGACAAGGGTGGCTCTCAGTACAGTCCCCGAAGGGAACTGCAGAATTACCCTGAAACAGAAGGGCAGGACGGAAGGACACCCTTCAGGTAATCTACAGAGTAGACTATGGATGATATAGACCATGTACATGATAACACAAGTTCTGAGGACTTAAAACTCATGGTTGCTCAGTGGGAAGCAGCTCAATCTATTGCACCCAAATCAGCCAGGGATTCTGTTCGACCCCAGAGCTGGCCTTCTCCAAAGGGCACACTGACCACGAGAAGAGCCCTCTGCACACAAAGAGAGGGGGCCTCCGACAGGTCGGCAGGTGTCATACCAGAGCTTACATGGACTTGGGGTCGTGGAGGAGAAGAGCTATGACACCGTCTGGCTCCCAGAGCCACCCTCACTGGCCTTCAAAGGCAGCAGCCTCATGCGTCCCAAGAGGAGCACTTTCCTGGGCCTGGAGGCCGACTTCACATGCTGCCACAGCCTGCGGCCCCTCGTGTCCCAGGACAGCCCCCAGCTCGGCAAGGACAAGATGCCTTACCACCAGCGACCCTCAGACAACAACTGCTTGAGTTTGCTGTATAACCCCTTCAGCTGAAACTTGTCCATAGCTGATAAGTCTGTATCTGATAAACTGTCGGAAGAGGCAGACGAAATCTGGAATGATCTAGAGAATTACATCAAGAGAAAGGAAGTCAAGGCTAGAGACCTTGCATGGTTTTCTGTCAGCAAAGACAACGTGCCAGATAGGAGAGCATGTCCAAGCTGAGCCCGGACGTAGCCTGGCCCCTGTCACACTGCAGGACAGGACGGGCAGGGCCAGCCAGCCCAGCTGCCCACTAAGAGAAAACCTCCTGTCTAAGGAAGGCTGCTTTCTGAGTCTGAACCGGCTCTCTCTGGCCAGCGAAGTGCCTCCCATGGAAATTCCCTATGACTTGGCCAACAGCCGTCTGTCCCAGACAGACCTGGACAGCCCTGACCCTGGGGTGGATACCACAGATAAGATCAAGAGCCAAGTTTTTATGATGGTGAGGCAGTACAGTCATAAGATCAAGAAGGCAAATCAGCTTTTAAAAGTGAAAAGTCCAGAGATGGAGCAGCCACCGGCCAGCCAACCACATAAGTCTGTGCACAAGGATCTGGCTGCCATCTTAGAAGACCAGAAATAAGGAGGGTCCACCATCATTGCAAGGATTGCTGAGTATTCCCAACAGTATGACCAGATTGCATTCAGAGAGACTCCCTTTAAGACTCAGAAGGATGGCTGGGCCAGCCCTCAAGAATCCTCCAAACTCAGATCTACCTCACCTTCCCAGGCCCAACATGGTAGCGAGGATTGGCTATTAATATTCAACCTATAGTAATGAAGAATTAGCAGATTTCTGTCATCGGCTAGGGAAAGACTTGAAGCCAAAATATCCTACTTTGGAGATCAACACAAAAAAATGTTCTAAGACAATTGTCCACAGCTTGCTCTGTGCCTCCTCTGCAAACCTCCAACCATCTGCTGGGCTCCATGCAGAGACACAGTGTGTGGTCAGTCAGCCCAAAAAGGAGAACTAATGTCAAGGCCATCTTTATAATTCTTTGGGTCAGAAAGGAATCGGCACTAAATCTTTTTTTTTAAATATATTTTATTGATTTTTTTTATAGAGAGGAAGGGAGAGAGATAGAGAGCCAGAAAGAGAAACATCAACCAGCCGCCTCCTGCACACCCCTCACCGGGAATGTGCCCGCAACCAACGTACATGCCCTTGACCAGAATCGAACCCGGGACCTTTCAGTCCGCAGACCAACGCTCTGCCACTGAGCCAAACCGGTTTCAGCAGCACTAAATCTTATAAACCTTATAATAGATCCTCTTCTCCCTCCATCTTAATAAACAAGTCTACGGACTCCATCAACTACCCTGATGAAATGGGAAGGAAACAGATGTTGTCCTTACACAAAAGTTCAAGGTGTGGGAGTCACCAGGATTTGCTGCCAGGGATAGGTGACTTGCGTCAACAGGTTACTGGAAAACGCTCAGCTCTCACTCTCCAGGACTCACAGAATGTTCTGGCAGTAAATAGAAATTTATCCTTAAACGCCCAAATAGCTACACAGAACTATTTTCCCAACTTCAAAGGGACTGAAGGAGACGACGGTGACTATGTGGAAATAAAATCAGAAGGTGAGTCAGAGTTCGAGCTATCTCACAATCGTAGAAAGGAATCTGACCCAAAGATTATGGATGCGGGCTTTTCTGATAATGTCGGCAGCAACAACACATCTTCCTCTTTGAATAGTCTGTTCACTCCCAAGAAGCCAATGAGTGGCAAACTTAGGGCTTCACCCTATCTGAAACCGCAGAACAATTCTGACAAACTGAATGACTATCTTTGGAGGTGTCCATCTCCCAATCAGCAAAACATTGTCCAGAGTCTAAGGGGGAAATTTCAGTGTCTTAGTTCTAGCAGCTTTGCTTAAGATTCTTAATAGCAGCTGCCCAAATTAACTTCTTCATATGCTCATGAATTACAGATTCTGAGGTGCGTTTTATATGTACCAGATTAAAACAATTTTGTGATTTTAAAATTTTAAGTATGGAAATGCCATTTGACCCAGTAATTCCACCTCTAGTGGAATATAGCCTAAGAAACCAGAAACACCAATCAGAAAAAAAAAAAAAAAATGTATGCACTTCTATGTTCATAGCAGTACAATTTACAATAGCTAAGGTCTGGAAATAGCCAAGGGCCCATCAGTAGATGGTGAATAAAAAAGTTGTGGTACTTTTACACCATGGAATACTATGTGGAATACTTTGGGACAGCATGGAGGGGCCTGGAGAGTATTATGCTAAGTGAAATAAGCCAGGCAGAGAAAGACAAGCATCACATGATCTCCCTCATATGTGGAATCCAGGGGACAAAATAAACTGATAAACAAAGTAGATCCCGAGACATAGAAGCATAGGACAGACTGTGGAACCTCAGAGAGAAGTCAGGGGAGGGGGAGTGGGTGGGAAGAGATCAGAGAACTTGTATGCATCTACGCATACACCATGGACACAGACAATAGAATGGTGAGAGCCTGGGGCAGAAGGTGGGAGCATCTAGAAGGTGTCAATGTGGAGGGGGAGAGAAACTCTGTAATACTTTCAACAATAAAGATTTAATTTTTAAAAAATTAATAAAATGAAAATATTTTTCAAAAGAGAACAAATAGAAATGTTGGCCTGACTCCTCTAAAGGAAGACACAAGACTAGACCCCATTTTCATTTCTCTGAAGCTGGTGAGGAGGCAGCCTACATATCAGTCCACACAGTACTCAGTTTGATGTGTGGTGTGGTGTTTGTGGAGTGTGGCATGGGTTATATTGAGAATGTGCATGGTGTTTTGTAAGTGTGTGTGGTACCAGTATGTGTGGTGAGTACATGTGATGTGCATGGTGGTGTGTGTGTGTGTGTGTGTGTGTGTGTGTGTGTGTGTTGGGGGGTGATTGTATAGTGTAATGTGTGTGTGAAGAGTGAGGGTGTGGGTGTGTATGTACAGTGTGGTGTGTGTGTGTGGTGTGAGTGTATGTGTGTCATGTGGTGTGTGTATGTATCGTGTGTAGTGTCTGTGGGGGTTGGGGAGAGGTGGACTTCAACTGCAAGGGGCACTCCCAGCTCCCCCAGGGCTCCCTGGCAGGCAGGGGCCCAGCGTTCATCAGTCAAAGCTGAGCTTTTCTCTTCAGAACTGTCTCCCCTGTGTGCCCAGGTGTCAGAAAGAGCGGGCCGGTCTGCAGGCAGCGCTGGAGCAGAGGCAGCAGGAGGCTGAAAGGAGGGGCGCTGTCTATGAGGAAGAGCTTGCAGGGCAGCGGGACCTGATCCGTGCCATGAAGAGGCGGGTGCTGGAACTGATTCAGTAAGTGAGGGTCAGTGGGAAGGGGTGCGAAAGGGGAAATGGCATGGGATATAGAGGCTGGGGAATGAAAATTTTGCTCCACTAACAACTACCAAGCAGGATTCTGGGCCTTTTGTATATATCAACTCATTTCCCTTTTTTTTAGCAACGCCCTGCTATTATTACCATTTTACAAACTGAGGGTCAGAGAGGCTGACTTGGCCACCAAGGACACACAGCATATATAAACTGCATCGAGTCCTCTGACTCTAAGACATGTCCTCCACCCCAACCCAGCCCACATATACACATATATACTTACTAAAGTTAGGAGAAGGAAAGGAACCCATGGGCTGAGAAGGAGTTGGGACAAGGGGCAGGTTAACCAAGAGGTAATCACATGTCCTACACCAGCCTGCCTCCTGGACTTCCTCAGACCACTGGGCCTATGGGCCTGTCCTGGGTCAGCTGACCTAGGTTCTAAATGCTGAGCTCACCAGACTCAATTCCCAGCAGCTAAGCTCCCTGAGGGATGGAGATGTGTAATGCCTGCTCTCAGGTTCCATTAGAACTGGAACCCTGTGAGATCATCTACTACTAAATCCTCTTGCACACGTGATATTAAAGGTGAGAAAAGGCGAGATTAACCTGAAAGAACAAACAAAAAAGTAAGGAGTGATCTCCTCCCAGGAACTGTCAACTGGGCGGAAGGGGTATATAAAAACTTAGCTATGTAGCTCACAAAATAATTCAAGTTCTCTAACAATAAAAGGTAAATATAGAGTGAGACATAAGATTGTTAAAGAAAAATAGAAGATTTCATGGTAGAAGAAAGATATGTACTCCCAAAGTGGTATGTGTAGGATTAAAACCTAGTGCTGAGCATCCTGACAGCAGAATAAAAAGAGAAACAGAAAATTTCCTAAAATTTACTGTCTGTTCAAAGGAAATATACCAGTTCGTGAGAAGAGACAAAGGTTTTTCCTAAGTGCTAAGGATTTGTCCCAAGATCCCAAACCATATAATACTAAAGGCCTGGTATATGAAGTCATGCACGGGTGGGGTCCAGCTGGCCCCGCCCCCTTGGTCGAACTCCTGGTTGAACTCCTGGTCAAACACCCAGGTCTAGGGAATAATTTGCAAATTATCTTTTTATTATATAGGATAATGTCCCTATTTTGGGATATATTACCCTAAGTAAAAAGTGGGGGGAGCCAAGGAGGTTGACTTCTGCATCAAGATGCTAGACCAATGATGTATCTAGATGCTAGACACAATGATGTATCTAGATGTGCCCACCCCCCTTTTCATTCATTGTTCTGGTCACTCAATGAAATCTTTATGATCTATGTCCATTAGAACTGATAAAGCACTCAATCACTTTATGTGACTAGTGGCTACCATATTGGACAGGACAAATAGAATACTTCCATCTTCATTGTGTTCTCCACATCATGTATTCTCCATCCTCAGATCTCACTAAAATGATTGTGAAGTAATAAAACTAACAACAGAGAGGAAGGTGGAGAAGCCAACCAGAGATGAGAGATTCCAGCTAATTTCCAGAAGCCAAAAAAATTTAAAAAATGGATGGAGAAGTCTCAGGGTCCAGAGACACCAGGCACACATATGGCAGAAGTGGGATGTGCCGAAATCAAGGAAATTAACTGAAGAAGTGGATAGAAAGACCAATGTATACTCCTGGCTTTCTGCCTGCCTCCCCAACTGCACAACACCCAATAGTTGAGGAGCTTATCTGCCTAGCAAATAATTCAAAGGTCCTTATCTGGAGGAAGCTAGATAGCCCAAATAGAAGAGCAGTGTGTTCTGGCTTTTGAGAGCCCCACGTGGCAGGTACCTCCCAGCCCCGTGCCTCCTAAAGGGAAGCCTGAGTCAACTACCCTGGCGCTCTGCTTGGAGCTCCAGCAGCTTTAAAGCCTCTTCTTAAATGTGAAATGGCAACCAAGTTTTTGTAAGCATTTGAGTCAGTCTAGAAGGTCAAGGGAGAGAGACAAAGATAAACAAAGAGAGCTCCATCTCCCATGAAACAAGAGTCTGTGAAAAGCGACCACCCAAAGATGAGAAACATTCTTGGAAATTAAAATATCACTGAGATTTTTCTAAATTCACTAGGATTGGAATGGAAAGATGAGTCAATCTCTCAGAAAGTAGAATAAAAAGAATAGAGAGATGGGACACATGAGAGAAATATTTAGAGACATAAAGAATCAATCTAGAAGTTCCAATACCTTCTCCACCTGAAAGGAATTTCAGAGAGAAAGAGAGAGAGAGAGAGAGAGAGAGAGAGAGAGAGAGAGAGAGAGAGAGAGAGAGAATAGAGAAGATTATTAGATAAAAATATGAGAGACTTTCTCAGTTCTAAAGGACATAGATCATAAAGATTTCTTTGAGTGACCAGAACAATGAATGAAAAGGGGGGCGGGCACATCTAGATACATCATTGTGAAATTTCTAGGAAGACTATCCTAAAAGACAGGCCACTTATGAAAGAAGTAGAACATAACAAATTTTAAGAATCAGAGGATCCAAGATGGCTGCGCCCAGGTGAATACCTAGCTGCAGCCTTACACAACAATTTCAATAAAATACAACTAAAATATAAAACGGACATTACCCAGAACTACAGGAAAGTTGACTGACTGGAAATTCTACAAAGAGAAGCAAGGAGAAAACCAGAAGGAAGCGCGGAGGAGCTGGGAAAGCCCAAGGTATGGAGACGCGCGGCACAGAGAGGACGGAGCCGGAGAGGAGGGCGGCCGAGTGCCTGGCGGGCGTTCCCTGGCGGGAAGGAGATAAAACTCCGACTGTGCTGGGCCCATTCTGACTGCTCTGAACCCCAGGCCTAGGCCAGACCCCGGGGACTCAGGGTCACACAGAGGGAGCTGGGCTGCGAGGCGGAACCCGGGGAAGCGGCGAAAGGGGGTCCCGGCGGCGGCGTGCAGTGCGCTCAGAGAAGGGACGGCCGGCTGTGCCGCGGGATTGCCTGGCGGGAAGGAGACAGGGGCTCCAGTCTGCTCTGAACGCCACCTCAACTCCACTTCCAACTGAACTGAACCCCAATACCGGGCTCATTGGGGAGAGCATTGACTGTTTGGCAGCAGGTGATCGAGGGCGCCTTTCTCTCAGAGGCGCCGGCAGCGAGCACTGAAGGACCCGCATAGGGCGGGGCTGACGGAAGCCAAGGCTGCAGGCTCCACCCTGAAACCCCGCCCCATCTGTAGCTGCGAAATGCGACAACGAAATAGATCACAAAGGAAAGAAATGGAGGACAAAAAGCGGCTGGATATAGAGTTCAAATCTACGCTTATAAGGTTTTTCAAGAATTTCCTAGAAAAGATGGATAAGACCTATGAGGATATGAAAAGAGATCAACTAGAATTAATAAGGAGTCATCAAGAAATGATAAGGGATCAACAAGAAATAAAGAATACATTGTCTGAAATAAAAAATATTTTACAGAGTCCTAAAAACAGAAGGGAAGATCTCAAGAATCAAGTCAAAGATTTGGAACATAAAGAGCCAGAAGACACTCCTCCACAGAAGCTAGAAGGCAAGAGAATCCAGAAAATTGAAGATAATGTAAGAAACCTCTGGGACAACTTCAAGCGAACCAACATCAGAATTATGGGGGTCTCAGAAGATGAGAGAGAGCAAGATATCGAAAACATACTGAAAGTAATAGTGACAGAAAACTTCCCCCACCTGGTGAAAGAATTAGACTTACAAGTCCAGGAAGCGCACAGAACTCCAAACAAAAGGAATCCAAAGAGGACCACACCAAGACAAATCATAATTAAAATTCCAAGAGCAAAAGACAAAGAGAGAATATTAAAAGAAGCAAGAGCAAAGAAGGTAGTTACCTATAAAGGAGCACCTATACGATTGTCAGCTGACTTCTCAACAGAAACCATGCAGGCCAGAAGGGAATGGCAAGAAATATTCAAGGTGATGAATAGTAAGAACCTACAGCCAAAGATAATCTATCCAGCAAAGCTATCACTCAGAATCGAAGGTCAGATAAAGAGCTTCACTAATAAAAAAAAGCTAAAGGAGTTCATCAACACCAAACCAGAATTATATGAATTGCTGAAGGGGGTTCTTTCAGAAGAGAAAGTAAACAAAGATAAAAATTATGAACAACAAATACATAACTATCAACAAGTGAATCTAAAAACCAAGGAAATTAAAAAAAAAATCTGATGAACAATAGTAACTGTTGAATATAATAGAATCAGAGGTATGGAAGGGGAGTGAACTGACGATTCTTGGGGAAAAGGGGAGAGGGGGCCGTGGGAAGAGACTGAACATAAACTGTGCACCTATGGATGAGGACAATGGGGAGTGGGGAAAGAGCAGAGGGTGAGGTGGGAAACTGGTGGAGGAGCGCAATGGGGGGGGGGAGGAACATTTGTAATAATATGAACAATAAAAACTTATTTAAAAAAATAAAAAATAAAAAAAAGAATCAATGGTGCAATACTTTTAAGTTCTGAAAAAAAGCTGAATTTTGCCCTAGAATTCTGTGTCCAGCTCAACTATGGATTAAGTAGGGGAGGAGATAGAGGAAAAGACATTTTCAGACAGAGAGTTCACAGAAAAGTCACCTCCCACACAGTCTTTCTTACGAAGATAATTCAGGATGTGTCCCAGAAAAACAAGGAAGCAAGCCAAGAAAGGAGAAGATGTGGAATTCAGGAGTCAATAGCTCTAAGCCAGGAGAGAACAAAAGGGAATTCCCGACATGACTAGTGGGCAGCAAGGCCAGGAGGCAGTCATTTCAGGCTGTAGCACAAGTATTGCAGGCCCAGGAGAAAGGTCTCAGGGAAGAAAGAGAATCAGAAAAATACCTGATGTGAAGAATTGGGTGGGCAAGAATAATTAGGCTGTTCTGGCCAGGGTGGCTCAGTGGTTGAGCTCGACCTATGAAGCCAGGAGAGCACAGTTCAATTCCTGGTCAGGGCACATGACCAGGTTTGTGGGCTCGATCCCCAGTGTGGGTCATGCAGGAGGCAGACAGTCAGTGATTCTCTATCATTGATGTTTCTATATCCTTCTCCTTCCCCCTTTCTCTCTGAAATCAATAAAAATATTTTTTAATAATAATAATTAGGCTGTGTTAAGGCAAGTTATGCAAGGAACAAAGAATGGCAATTAGACACAGTTCAATATACAGATGATGTCTCATAGAATTGTTCACTTGAAGCTTATATAATTGATTAACCAATATCACCTTAATGAATATAATTTTGAAAATTAAAATAAAACTCTGTAAAAGAAAGACAATTAGAAAGTCCTAGAAAAACAACAAATTCCCAAGAAGGAAAATATTTTTTTATATATTTTATTGATTTTTTTACAGAGAAGAAGGGAGAGAGATAGAGAGTTAGAGACATTGGATGAGAGAGAAACATGGATCAGTTGCCTACTGCACACCCCCCCTGGGGATGTGCCCACAACCAAGGTACATGCCCTTGACCAGAATCGAACCTGGAACCCTTCAGTCCGCAGGCCAACACTCTATCCCTTGAACCTAACTGGTTAGGGCAAGAAGGGAAATATTATAGAACATAGCTCTGCTTGAAGCAATATGCTTACATATTGTCTAATAATATAAATACTAGTCACTGATTTTTTCATCTGAAACAAAGCACAAAGAATGATTATAATTATACAACAAACATAAATGTTACCACTAAACAATATTAAATATAGAACGGAATCCAATAGAACTTTCAATGAAGATGGAAGTATTCTATATTTGTCCTGTCCAATATGTTAGCCACTAGTCACATATAGTGATTGAGTGCTTCAAATGTGACTGGTGTGACTGAGGAACTCAAGTTTTCATTTTATTCAATTTTAATTAACTTACATATAAATTTACAAAGCCATAGGTGGCTGGTGGCTATCCTACTGGACATTGCAGGAATAGATGACAAGTTAGAAAGTGGGAGGAAAAGGGATGCTGCCATTGTATTACAGAATGGCAGTCCTAAGATGCTACCTATAGTTAATAGAATGAGTGAGAAATAAATGTGTAGAATATTCTATAGAAGTCCAGTAGTAACCAACAGAGGAATCAAAAATAGGGCTATAACTACATGGGAGGAAGGATGATCATAAGCTGTCCTCTGACCTCAAGGTAGACGTTCTCTCTTGAAAGAACAAGAAGGAGGGATATGAGCATGTTTCTATGAATGTACTATCAGGAGAAAAGCTAAAAGATGTAAGTGCTTTGCCACAAAGAATGGGAAAGTGGCTATTGTCTGTGTTGTTCAATTTTTATATCATGGGCATGTATCATTCTGATAAAAATTTAAAACAACCCACCTTCTTTCTTTCTTTTTTTTTATTTTTTATTTTTTTTAGTTTTTGATTGATTTCAGAGAGGAAGGAAGAGGGATAGAGAGATAAAAATATAAATGATAAGAGAGAATCATTGATTGGCTACCTCCTACACACACACACACCACACACACCCCAACCCTAGGGATCAAGTTGTAACTCAGGAATGTGCCCTAAATGGGAATGGAACAATGACCTCCTGGTTCATAGGTCAACACTCAACCACCAAGCCACACCAACCAGGCAAAACAATCCATCTTCTTAACACATCCTTTAAAAAAAAAAAGAACAATGAAGATAGAATTTGTTTATTGTGTTTGTGTTTTTTAGTGTGTGTGTTTTTCAGGGGGTGGGGGGAGGGCATAAACATCTCTAACTCCAAAGCAGTTTGTACCAAGTGCCAAATAAAAGATCATAGGCATTATCTGGAGCAAGTAACTCCGGGGCCCTCTACCATCAGGGAGCATCCTCAGAGGAGGCAAGCTGTGAACATGTTTTTCAATAGTGGGTTAAGGTTATGATGGGCCACGGGGGACCTGTCACCATCCATCTAGTCTTCCCAGAAAGACTGGAATCTCACTCTTATGTGTGTGAGTCTCTCTCCACCTCTCATCATCGCTATGTCTCTTTCTCTCCATCTCTCTCTATATTTGTCTCTCCCTCTCTGTGTCTCGGCCCCTGTCTGCCTCTCTCCCATTGCATTTGTCTCTGTACTTCTCCATGAGTCTCTGTCTCCCTCTCCAACTCCCTGACTCCCTTTCTCTCTGAGTGACTGTCTCCCTCTGCCCCTCTTTGTCTCCTCCCCATTTCTATGTCTGTCTTTCCTCCCTACTGTTTCTCCATCTCTTTTTGTCTCTGTCTCTCTATCTGTGCATTTCCAACTCTATATCTTCCTTTGTGTGTTTCTCTCTCTCTCTCTCTCTCTCTCTCTCTCTCTCTCTCTCTCTTTCTCTCTCTCTCTCTCTCTCTTCCCCTCTATCTCCCCTCCTCTCCATCTATCCATCAGAGAGAAGGACAACCTGTGGCAGAAGGTTCAGCAACTCTCTTCCGTAGCCCCTGGATGCTGTGTCAGCTGTAGCAAGCTCTTTGGCCGGCTGTCTCGGCGGTACCCATGCAGGTAATGGGTGGGGCAGCCCAGTGTCCACCAGCCCACAGTCCCCTGTCCACTCCGGGGAAGGGAGGGACACAGGAACTGGACATCTATGAGAGGCTGCTTAAAAGCTGGCCACTCATGTTACCCAGAACTTAGCGGAGACATCAACAAGAACAGCAGGGAAATGTCAGACAGGAAGGGCGTCTGATAGATGGGATGGTGCAACCTTTCTGAGAACAGACTAATTAATGGGCTTCTGCTCTGGGAAGCGGCTCCCCTGGCCTCCCTCTGGGACACAGCGGCAGGACAAGCAGCAGGAGGGAGGGAAGCGGGCCGCCGGAGAACCCGCCATTTGGAATTAGAGGACGTAGAGGAGTGGGCATCGGGTCACCCTTTGGGAAAGGGGCGGCCTCGTGGGACAGAGCCAGGGCTGTTCTGCTAGAAAATGAGAGACAGGCAGTTGGACTTGAAGGTTCTCAAGCCCCCTAACCCCTTTCCCTATACACACCCATGTGCTCCCCGCTCTTTTTACCTTTGCCCCCAGCCTGTGTGGAGGCCTGGTCTGCCACGCCTGCTCTCTGGACTATAAGAAGCAAGAGCGCCGCTGCCCGCCCTGTGCCCAGAAAGGAGAAGCCCAGGTTGTCTAACCAAAATCCGTTCCAACCTCCCCTCAGCACTTTCAGGGCCTATGATCTGACCAGCACTACCTTCCAGAACTTGGTGACTTAGGCAGGTGGCACTTGAGGAGCCAGACTGTGGTGTGGAGAGTGGAAAGAGCCAGGGTGACAGCTCAAGCCCTGCATCGCCCACTGATGAGCTGGGCAACTCAGCTCTCTGAACTCTCGGTAAAGTGAGGATGTCAAGAGTCATCCACTCAACGTCCCTTTGGCTTCAGAAAATCCTTGACTAAGAATAAGATCCAATGGCCTTGCCGAAACCGGTTTGGCTCAGTGGGTAGAGCATCGGCCTGCGGACTGAGGGGTCCCGGGTTCAATTCCAGTCAAGAGCACATACTTTGGTTGTGGGCACATCTTCAGTGGGAGGTGTGCAGGAGGCAGCTGATCAATGTTTCTAACTCTCTATCCTTCTCCCTTCCTCTCTGTAAAAAAAAAAAAAAAAAAAATCAATAAAATACATTAAAAAAAAAAAAAAAAAAAAAAAAACACCCAACAGCCTTGACTTTCTCCTCCGCACTCTCTCCTCACCCAGACAGCCCTTCACCACACTGCACTGTCTCAGGGTCCCCAGGAGCATTCTGTCTGGATTCTGCTTCAGGTTCCGTTTTTGTCCTGCTTTGTTTTTAACATCTTTCCTGGGACACTACTAACATATAACACACTTCATATAAATTTTACAATTTGATGAGTTTTTACTTTACTTTATACCCATGAAGTCACCACCATATTGAAAATAATGAATGCGTCCACTAGTGCCAAAGTTTTCTCCTGCCCTTTGGAATCTCTCTATCCCTCTCCACTAACCCCACTCCCAGATAGCCATTCACCTGCCTTCGCTAAAGACCACTTTGCATTTTCTAAAATTTTATATAAATAGAATCATATGGTCTGCCTTCTTTCACTCAGCATAATTATTTTGAGATTCATACACATTGCTGTTCATACTCATAGTTCCTTTTTTTCACTGTTGAGTAGCGTTCCACCACCTGGATAATGCACCATCTGTTCACACATTCACCTGTTGCCAAACATTTGGGTTGTTTCTAATTTGAAGCTATTACAGATCAGTTTCCTATCATCATCTGTGCACGGATCTTTGTGTAGACATAATGCCTGTGTTTCTCATGGGTTCATACCTAAGAATGAAATGGTCAGTTCACATGGCAGGTATATGTTTAAGAAACTGCTGCGTTATCATCCATAAAGAGTATATGTTGTGCCATCCCACCAGCAGGGCGTGGGTGTCCCGGCTGCTCCCCAGGGCATTTAGCTTTGGGGGCAGGAGAAGAGACACGGACATGGAACCTGCGCCTCTCTATCCTTCCCCTCCAACCACTGAGGTGAATTAAACAGTCCCAAGTTGTGAGGCTAGAGGGAGGGGCTTAGTCTAAGTGACTCTGTGCAGTGCTCACTCGCTAGACTTTAATAAAGACAGTTAAGGATTCGGGTAGCTCTGTGTTACAAGTTATACCCTCTGACTGTCCAAGAAGTCTTACGCAACTTGTTTCGTTCACTGGGCACCCAATTGTGGTGTTTCCGAAAATACTGTTTCTGAAGAAACATGGGGTCCTCTCTATAATAGGACAGACTCTCTGGCCACGAGCAGGTATGCAGGCTGTCCCCTGCCTCACAGGACTGCCACAGCGTCTGCAGCGGTTGAGCAACTCTGTGGCTCTGACCAGAGCCTGTGGACCGCCTCTTGGGGTCAGGGCCACCTAGAGTTGCATCCCATTACCATCTTATGGAGCAAGAGTTTTGCAACAGCAGTTCCTGCCCTGGAGAGCTGATGAGAACTTCTCTTTAGCAGCGTCAGCAACAAGGTGAGCAGGGAGGGTCAGGGAATGGAGGGAGGGAAGTGTGGAGGGAGGCCAGAGCTGCAACTCCCAGAGCAATTAGGTCAAAAGAATCAGCATGCCTTCCTGGAGGTCACACTTGCTCACATACTTCTATTAGAACATGGATTTCATTCCCGCCTGGTGAACTAATGGGGTAGAAGTGAACTAGCAGAAAAGCCTAAGTTCAAAGCGGAAGTAAAATGCTCCTGGATGAGGACTCATTGTGAGGAAATCAGGGGCCAAGAATGGGAGAAAAGTCCCCTGGTTGGGAGCAAAGGAGGGCAATGCTGGGAACCAGCCTCTAGCTTAACACTACTCCCCAGAGGGTGCCCTGTGCTCACAGCCTGGGGGTGCCCTGGGCAACAATTATTTCTTTAACTAGAGGTGTGGTGTAAGAAATTCGTGCACTCGGGGGTGAGGGGCACATCCCTCAGCCCAGCCTGCACCCTCTTGCAGTCCAGGAGCCTTTGGGAGATGTCCAACTGACGGCTTAGGCCCACTCCCTATGAGCCTGGCTTTTGGCTGAGTGGCGCTCCCCCGTGGGAGTGTGCTGAGCACCAGGGGGCAACTCCTGCATTGAGTGTGGCCTGGTAGTCAGTGCATGTCACAGTGACTGGTCATTCCACCTTTGGTCAATTTGCATATTAGCCTTTTATTATATAGGATTGGCTGTCACTCAGAAGTTCCAACATACATCAGTTTCCCCGCTTTGTCAATCCATTCAGTGCTCAAGAAGATCATGTTTTATACCTAGGTTATGCCTAAACATTGATTGGTTTAAGGATACAGGGGGAAAAAATTATATATATAGGAGCCCACTGCACAAATTCATGCACCTTGTAAGGAACTGTGGACCACAAGGCTGCAGTGGGCACAGGGATGGGTCTTGGCCCATCCTCCGAACCCCCACCCAGCCCCTCCACTGCAGCTCCCACACGCTGATGGCCCCTGCCCCACTCGCACCTGTGACGGCGCAGAGCATTTGGGGCTTGTGTCAGCAGTGGATGCAGGCAGGGTCGGTGCCATCAGCTGGTGCAAGCAGTGGCTGCTGCCCCAATCCCCCTCAGGAGCAGGAGGAGGTAGAGAAGCCCTCAGGGTAATTGGGACCGACACCAGGTGCAGGCAGCAGATGTGAGCAGTGGCTCCAGCACCAGCTGCAGGTATAAGCAGGGCCATTGCTGGCAGTGAGTGTGAAAGGTAGCTGCCATCCCTGATTGCCCCTCAGGAGCAGGGGAGATGTAGAAGCCCTGAGGGGCGACTGGGCCTGCAGCTGCTGCTTGCACCCACTGACAGTGCCAAGTGATCAGCTATCGCCAGGCTCCGGCAGTAAGTAAGAGCAGCAGCTCTGGTGCCAGCAGCAGGTGCAAGCATGGGGTGGGACCGCAGAGCGTGGTAGCAAAGAATTTTCAGTAACCACCAAAGGTTTGCCCTGATGACAGCAACCAGCACTCCACCTTGGTCTGGTGCCCCTGCTCACTTACTCCATCATCCTGCTGTGACTGAAGACCTCCACATTCCATACTCTATTGCCTGCTGCTCACGCCCACCATGTTCTGTGCGTACTCCCTAGTGGTCAGTGCACGTCACAGTAACCAGTTGTTTGGATGTTCAGTTGTTCTGCCTGGTTTATTTGCATATTAGCCTTTTATTATAAAGGATGATACCTGCTTTCACAAACCCAAAAGTGTGGAGTCAGAAGCAGACAAATAGATGATTACAAAGCCCTGTCATTGAAGACATGATAGAGGTAGCCCAGGTGTGCTGCCCCTGGAGGTGACCACGGGGCTGGATTTGAAAGGAAAGGGGGAGTTGGCCAGACCTAGAGGGTGGGAAAGAGCAGACCTAGAGGAAAATGCATGCCAGTCCCTGAGGAAGAACCAGAACAGTTCCTAGGGGAAGTGCGAGTAGTTCCCTGTGTCTGAAGTTAAGGGTTCAAGGAGGTGTGGCCTGAAATGAGCCTGAAGAAGCACACAGGGATCAGATGCAGGAGCTCCAGGTACACAAGTCAGGAGTTTGATGCTGAGGGTAATGGGGAGTCTGTGCTATAGCGAGATCATTCTGGTAGCAGAGTGCAGGATAAACTGAGGGGGGAAGACTTGAGGCAGAGAGTACTTAGGAGAACAGTGATAGTAATAGTAGCAGCAACAGCAACAGCCAACACTACCAAGCACCATTTTAAGTGCTTCACACATGTAGACTCATTGAATCCACAGAACAATAGGTGCCCTCAATATCCCCCTGTTACTGTTCATGACACTGAGACCTGGTGAGATTAAATATTTGCCCAAGGTCTACAAACAGTAAGTGACATGGCCGGTATCCTAAATCAGCCCAGCTGTGGAATCCACAGCTATTGCCTGATATATATATATATATATATATATATATATATATATATATATATATATATATATTTTTTTTTTTTTTTTTTTTTTTTTAATTGATGTCAGAGAAAGGAAGATAAAGAGAGGGAGAGATAGAAACATCAATGATGACAGAATTATTATTGATCAGCTGCTTCCTGCACATCTCACACTGGGGATCGAGCCCACAACCCAGGTATATATGTGCACTGACCAGGAGTCGAACCGTGACCTCCTGGTTCATAGGTCAATGCTCAACTGCTGAGCCGTGGGGCCTGGGCTATCAGCTGACAATTGCAGTAGCTTCAGGGAGAATGAAGTGTTGCCTAACCCTGCTAGGGAAGATGGTGAGGAGAAGATAACTAAGGGAGATGTTAAGGAGAGAAAGAAGGGGGGGAGTGTGAGACGTGGGGACAGGCATGGATGAGGGGAAGCTCTGGGAGAGACACAACGTGCGAGTTTGCAGCTTCTGTGGAACCTCAGGGGAGATGTTATGAGGTGAGTGCATGTAAGAATTTGAGCTGAGGAGAGAGCTTCAAAGACAGATTGGGAATTATAGGTGTGAGAGACACGGACAAATTGGGTCACCAAAGCCAAGGAAGGAGGTGGGCTGGCCGAGGGAGAGCAGGAAGAGAAGAGGAACATCTGATTTCAGGAGTGAATTAAGAATAAAGCAACAAATGAAACCAAGAGAAGTTCAGAAGAAAGAAGAGAATGGGGTCAGTGGGATTAAGTGATGCAGAGATCAAATAAGATAGCACTTGAACAGTAACCATTTCACCATAAATAAATTTAAAAAGCACACAGCAGGCTGGGGAGAAAATAGTTTACCATACCTGAAAAATGTAAAATAGTGTGAGTAGAGAGATGAACAGGCCCTCTGATAAACTGATGGTAGGAGAGTAAACAGGCACAGTCTTCTCAAAGGGCCATATGGTCTTGTTTATCAAAATGTAAATGTGCCCAATGAGCCCTGACCAGGTGGCTCAGTTGATTAGAGCATTTGTCCCTACATCAAAAGGTTGCAGGTTCAATTCCCAGTCAGGGCACATGCCTAAGTTTTGAGTTCAATCCCCAGGCATGTACAGGAGGCAACTTCTCTCTCTCTCTCTCTCTCTCTCTCTCTCTCTCTCTCTCTCTCTCTCTCTCTCCCTCTCCCTCTCCCTCTCTCTCTCTCTCTCCTCTCTCTCTCTCTCTCTATCTTTCTCTCCTCCTTTCTCTTTCTCAAATAAATAAAACAGAACATACCTTCATGTAAGAATTGAAAAAAAATAGTTTAAAGTATTTACACATCCCCAGATATGAGCCAGCAAAATTATACTTAAGCTACAGAAACACACAGAAATATTCCCAAAGATGCTCATAGGAAGAAACTAAGTATCCATCTCTAAGGCAATCATTATGTAAATCATGATACATACATACCATGAACCACTAAGTCATCATTAGAAAGAGTGAGATGGATCCCTATGTAATGATGAGGAATAGGTCCATGATACATTCTTTTTCTAAAATATATTTTTATTGATTTCAGAGAGGAAGGGAGAGGGAGAGAGAGATAGAAACATCAATGATGAGAGAGAATTTTGATTGGCTGCCACCAGGAATCGAACCGCGTTCGATTGGTTCATAGGTCAACACTCAACCACTGAGTCATGCCAGCCGGGCCAATATACATTCTTAAGCTGCAGAAAGTATAAATAGTTAAATATGTTATATTTTTATTAAGGAAGGGAAGAAAGAAAACATGTTTGTATCTACATGGGGAAGTCTGGGGAAGGCAAATATTAGTGAACAGAGGGATGGAAGGGTGTCTCTCGAGTTTTACTTTACAGGCTTTTATTTTATATCTCCTATATTCTGGACAATGTGCATGCTTCCCTTTAATAACACTAAAGCAGTCCTCTTTAAGAAAGCGGCTGTTGGCTCAGTAATCCAGAGGTCATTGGTAGCCCTGGCCAAAGCCGTTTCAGCAAGCAGTAAGAAGGAAGCTAGTTTCGGTGGGTTGAGCAGTGGACAAGAGGCGGCCACGTGGACCCAGCTGCTTTGTCAAGAAGTTCACTTGTGAAAAGGAGGGCACAGGGAGCGGCACCTAAAGGGATCCTAGGACAGAGGAGAGGAGGGAAAGACATAAAGAAGTGATGGAATGTGAGAGGCGGGGGTCCCACAGCCAGGTGCAAGAATTCACCAGAAAGAGAGGAGGGACACTGCTCACGCTGACCCGAGAAGAAAGGAACAAAGTGCCCGGTGAGTCCAAGCAAGCCTGTCAGCTGGAGTCTGGGATTGCCTGCAGCTTCCTTTAGGAGGTGAAGATTTAAAAAGCACAGAGACAGAGATGGACTAGGGCAAACCTCCGCCTTCAGACTGCCAGTGCCTCCAGAAGCCATTAGGCAGGACGGCCTGAGCATCCCCAGCGCTCACACAGAATCTCCTGGCGGAGCCTTGGCCTGGAGCCAGAGTCCTAGGACAGGCCTATTGGTCCCCTGTGGGAACACCTCCCCTGGTGGACCTCTCAGATTTCCCCGTTGGCAGCCCTGCCCCAGAAGTGTCTCCATAAAACCTGATTCACTTTTTTCCTGCCCAACAGCCCTAACTGCTACCGAGCCCTGAGTCACAGCGGAAGTACCAGCACTAACTTCAGTAGCAACAGCAGCCTAGCAGCAACAGCAGGTAAGTGGGCTGTTCAGACTTAGAACTGCTAGGGACATATTTCTTTTCTTTTTTCTTTTCTTTTTTTTAATATATTTTTATTGATTTTTTACAGAGAGGAAGGGAGAGGGATAGATAGCTAGAAACATCGATGAGAGAGAATCATCGACCAGCTGCCTCCTGCACACCCCCTACCGGGGATGTGCCTGCAACCAAGGTACATGCCCTTGACCAGAATCAAACCTGGGACCCCTCAGTCCACAGACCAACGCTCTATCCACTGAGCCAAACTGGTTTCGGCTGGGGACATATTTCTGATGGAAGGGACTTGGAAACCTCAGTCTGGGTCCCCTGAGAACTGAGGTGTGATAAGCTGCAGACTCTTAGAGCTAAAGATAACTGTCTTTGCCAGACAGCACAGTACAAAAGAACTTGTTGCTTATAGAGAAAAACAGAAATATTCTCCATCTGCACTATCCAGTATGATAGCCACTAGTCACTTGTGGCTCCTGAGCACTTAAATGTGGCTCATGTGACCGAGGCACTAATTTTTTTAAATTAATTTAAATTTAAGTAGCTGCCTGTGGCTAGTAGCCATCGTTTGGGGCAGGGCAGATCTAGAACAGTCTCCTCATTTTCCAATGAACCACATCAAGGCTCAGAGACAAATGACTTGTCCAAGCTCACACTGACCATGCACCACAGAACCAGGATTGGAAACTGGCTCTTTATTCACCCCACAGTCAACGTGCATGCGGTGGGCTCAGTGGAAATGAAATCAACCGAATGCAAATCAAGAAGTGGGCTGCTTGGGAAATGTCAAATCTGGGCTCTTTTTTCTATGTCTTTCATACTTGGTTGTCTGAGTACTTAATGGAGTTCAGAAACCTCAGGCTGACATACAGCCCCTTGTGATAGTGGACAGAATATACAATTTGGGGTCAGGTAAAAAAAAAAAAAAAAAAAAAAAAGTCTTTAAAACTGCTCAACACCCAGTTCATCTGTGTCATTCTAGGTGAGTTGCCTAAGTCCTAGAGTCTTAGTTTCCTCATTCAGGAAGCACATGTTGTCATGAGGATTAAATGATATAGACTCTGAAAAGCACTTTTTTCAGAAATTAGACCCTCAGAGGTACTCAACAGTACAGCTAGTGTGACTACTGTTATCTGGGTAAGATGTACCTTAAAGTCAGCCTGGACAGTGGACCAGCCACTTTCCCTTGCTTGGAGATGTAGCGGGAGAGACAGCATGCTATTAGTTGACAAACTATTTCAGTAATAATTATCATAACAAGAAATGCAAACATCATGCTTTATACTGTCTTAAATGATTTTCGGGTAATCTCTCATTTCATCCTCAGCCTCATTTTACAGATGAGTAAACTGAGACTCAGAAAGGAAAGGTCACTTGCCAGGAGTTGCTCAGCTAGCAGGGTTCTTCACCACCACTCCCACCCTCTTCTCTGTGTGTGTAAGGAGCTTCTGCCTGATGTTGGCATCGCCTGAGCGGGAGTCATTGCATTCTTCTCTAACAAGGGAAAGAAAGATGTGACAAAAAGTGTTTGCTAAGCAGTGGGACTCAGAGGTTCTTTCCTTGGGATAGGCAGCTTATCCCAAGGGGTGTGTGGGCAACAGGCTCGGAGCACTCACTGGGCAAGAGAAAGGCATAAGGAGTGGTGGAGGGACTGAGGTTGCTAATGTTAAGAGGGAGTGGTGAATTTGTGTTCACTACTCTGCCTGTATTTATACTCTCGATTGCAATCAATAGCAACTATGACATAATATATTGTTAGTGTCACTCAACACTGTTTTCAAAAATGTGTTAGGACTTGAGTGGGATTTTAACATTCACCAAAAGGCTTCCTTTTCCAAATTAGATAGTCTTGGCTCCAAAGCTGAAAGCTACTGCAGACTCAGTCTCAAGTATGCAAGCCAAGGGCGGAGAGCAATGACCTAAGAGGGGCTCATGGACAAAGCAGATGTTTGGGGGCTGAGGTGAAAGACAAGAAGAGGTGTGATGGGGCCCCCATTTTGGGCTAGCGGTTCTCAAATGGATGTGGCATAGAGAAGGAATCTGTGAGGCTCTAAAGATTCCTAGGGTAAATGGGGTGGAGATGGGGGGGCATTCGATCCAAGGGAAAAAGCTACCAACTCTCCAGAAACTTGTTCCATCTCCTTTGTCTTAATGAGCTGTTCTCCTTTCAGGTATGAAAGATATTTAAGAGAGGTAGTGCTGCTAGACAGTAAGCCCAGGGGAGCCTGAGGCAGCTAGAGTGCAGAGAGAGTCAGACAGAACAGAGGCCACTGAGATCAGGGCACAGATGAGAGAAATCTGCCCTAGCCGGTTTGGTCAGTGAATAAAGCATCAGCCTGCCTGTGGACGGAAGGGTCCCAGGTTCAATTCTGGTCAAGGGGCCATACCTCGGTTGCAAGCTCCATCCCTGACCCTGGTCAGAGCGCGTGCAAGAGGAAGCCAATGGATGTGTCTTTCTCACGTGGATGTTTCTCTCCCTGCCTCTCTGTCTCTTCCCCTCCCTTCCACTATCTCTAAAAAAATCAATGAGAAAATATCCTCAGGTGAGGAGTAACAAAAAGAAGGGGGGGAACAAAGATGAGAGAAAGCTGTGCAGTCCTGTCTCTTCATCTGTGAAAAGGGAAGATTGTCTAGGAAATGCCACAGGTCCTTTCCCGGTATGAACCCTCCCAGCCCATAAAATGTCTAGTGATCAAAGATCTGACCTGGGATTTAAATATTCACATTAAGTATCCTTCACAGGCCGGGACTCCACCCACCATTGAGCAATCTCATCCACCGCTCACTTCCTCCACGGGCCTCTCACCAACGCCACCCTTGCAGTCGGGCACATCTGCTCTTCGGAGGTGTCTTACAGGTGAAAAGCCCAGAACCATGGTAAGTCTTGGGACACTCACCCCTCCCGCCATTCAGAATGTCTCTGTTCTCCGTCTCCCTGGACACCAGCCTCCCGCTTATTCCAGGCATCTTTCCCTACTCTTGGTGGGTCTCACCGACACCCCTGGATCTCTTTATTCTCTCTCTTTAGGCTACTCTGTCTTCAAAAAGAGGGTTTCTGCACCTTTCCCCTACACCTCTCTCCAACAACCACTTAGGGCAACTCTGTTCCCATCCCCATCCCTTTCCAACTCAGCCAACTCTCTCTCTTTGCACAAAAGTGGTGTGAGAAAGGGCCAGACACTGTACAGTCCCTCCTCCCATATATTAAATGTAAATGTTTGTGGATGATATTTATAGAGATAAAAAATACTGGAATTGTATTAAAATGACAGACTTTTGTTGTTGTTGTTGTTGTTGTTTAAAAGTTTGCTATAAATGTTTAGAATCTTATAAAGTCCTCATTCTATAGCATTCTCATGAAATAAGCTGGAATCATCCCATTCATGTTATTTCTGAACTACCGCGAGTCATTAAGGAGATGGCAATTTTGTTGAAAGAGAATCTCCTGCTGGGAAACCAAGAACATGACTGAGTGATCAGGATGGGCCAGCCAGTTCTAGGGGGTTCGGTTTATCATTCCTAAAAGGGCTGTTTCTTTCATTCTGGGCATCAGGAATAGCAAAGAAAGTAATGTACAGACATCAAATGATGAGAGTGAACTATATACAGGATGGCTAATATCTCAAGAATTTAACTTACAAATATATTTAATATATGACCTATGATTTTGGTATTGTTGTTGTCAAATTATCCTGTGAGTTCTTAACTAGCTAGGTATTCTATCGTACATACTACAATTGATGTCATCTATTATGAATAAGGGTAATGGCCATCGACATGGCAGCCTACAGACTGGGCAGTCCCAGGATCTCTTTAATGGTTCCAGAGAGTTCTCTAGGTAAAGATTGGCGCCATATCTGTCAGGAAATATTGACAATCTCCTCAAAAGTGATATTTCCATCATGTGGATGTTTTTCTGTTTCTGTCTCTTGGAGGTTCCTAGAGGGCTTTGGTGGTCAGGGCAGAGGCAGAGCTACCACTTCAAGCTGGGTCTGTCTGTTCTGAATGGTCAGTTACAATGTTATCCTCAAGCCCTTCCAATCACCTGTTGCCTTGGCAATGTCATCACCAATCTTTTAGGGAGACAGATCCAAGGAGCTGACCTGGGGTGGAGGGCAGATATGGCACCCACTCTCAGATACAGAACTTTGATCTCTTTGAGATAGAACTTAGGGGACATGGTGGAGCTAGAATCTAGATTTGGGATGAATGAAGAAAGTTGCATTTGGCTTCCTCTGATCCTAAAGTTCAGAGGTGTGAATTTAATTTAATTTTATTTTATTTTATTTTATTTTATTTTATTTTTAGAAACAGGTCTGCAGGCTGAAAATGTGGAGGAGCCATTTGCACCTAGTTGGAATTCTTGCTGTAGGACTTCTAAGCTCTGGGACCATAGGCTGGTCTCTGAGCCTCACTGTGTCTGTCTTCTCATGGTTAAGCAGGTGCTTAATCATATCTACCTATTTGTAACAATCAAAAGAGATCATATAGGCACAAAGTAGATCTCAAGTGTTATCCTCCTATCTTCCTTTCCTTAGTTTCTCCCTTTAACAACCAAAACATCACCTCTAGGGATTGGTTACAAAACAAACAAACAACAAAACATTCTCTCCACCCCCCTCCACTCATCCCCACCCCCACACCTGGCCAGTGGCTGGAGGTCACGGCCCTCGGCAGGTGGCCTGGTTCTCCTTTCTGAATTCTCTACTTCTGTCCTGACTTGCATGGAAGTGGAGCTCACCCACATACCTGCAATCTGGCCCCAGCACAGTCGAGCATCGGACTCTTCTATATAGAATGAGGGTTCATCTTATAACAGCACAACCAAGGAATGCAGGCTGCCTGTCACTACTTCAGCCAATTAAGCAGAGACAGGGTTGAATCATATGAGTGTTTATTCCAATAATGCCAGCAGTATGGGAGAGCAGCAGGTCATCCACAAAAATCTGCTCTGCACCCCATCATAAGCCAGCTGCTTATATTGGATAATGGGACAAAGATTACGTGGGGATGTAGGAACTACAGGCATGGAAAGTAGGCATAGAAGAGTCATTACAAGTTACAAGTCATGCGGACTGGGGCAGGGATTGCAGAGAGTGGGTGCCTCCGGGTATCCCAGGACCAGCTTACAGGTAATAGGGGTAGGGGTTGTAAACAACAGGCACCTCTTGGATTAGATTGTTCCAGCCAGGAGGCTGTAATCTTTCCTTAATGACTGGCAGTTCTTGGGAAAGGAGGATGGACAACATTCCAACGTCAGCTCCCCTGTCCCCAGGTGCACAACTCTCAGCAAGGTTAGAACATGCTCTCTCTGATATTTTGCTGCCTATGGATTCTTCTAAGATTTTTTATGATCTTACGTTTAAGTTTTTATCCATTTTGAGTTTATTTTTGTGTATAGTGTAAGTTTGTGGGCCAGTTTCTTTCTTTCTTTCTTTCTTTCTTTCTTTCTTTCTTTCTTTCTTTCTTTCTTTCTTTCTTTCTTTCTTTTTTACATGTATCTGTCCAATTTTTCCAATACCATTTATTGAAGAGACTGTCAATATGCCCTTGCCTCCTTTGTCAAATATTAATTGATTTCTGGATTCTCTGTTCTGTTCCATTGGTCTATATGTCTGTTCTTGTGCCAGTACCAGGCAGTTTTGAGAACAGTGGCTTTGTAAGATAGCTTGATATCTGGTATTGTGATCCCTCCAACTTTGTTCTTTCTCATGATTGCTGCGGCTATTCAGGGTCTTTTTTTTATTCCATATAAAGTTTTGGAGAGTTTGTTCTAGGTCTATGAAATATGCCGTTGGGATTTTAGAATGTGCTTTCTCTAATCAGAACAGAACCCTCATGGTTAACAAAGCATGATTAATATTTCTTAAAATTGTAGCAGGTCCCCAATATTCTATTTCTGCCTCGACCAATCAATGAAGCATGTTTGCCTGCTGCTGCCTCTTCTCATAGGGAAGTTTCTGCAGCTGCCCCAGCCCAGCCTTCTCACAGCTGATGTGCATAGATGTGGGGTTCCACTCTCTGCACCCACCAATGGTCATCCTCTTTCAACGGTGGGTCTTCTTCTAGGCCATGTGTTCCCTTAAGCACATCTCTGATCATCTCTCATAGAGGTGAGTCACCCTTGACCTCATAAGCAAACTGGACTTATCCCTGGGGCTCTGAGCAAACTTGCTTTTGATCAAGAGTCTACAGAGCCAGTGATTTCTCTCAAGTCTTGCTGGCAACACTGGCCAAACCAGCTCTATTATCTGCCTCTTTCCCCCTACCTCCCTATGTGCTGGCCAGACAGGGCCACATCCTTATCGTCACATCTTTCTACATTCATGGACTGATTGAATCTGCTCTGTCTGTTGGTCTCCATGTGCTGAAAAGGCCATTTATCTGGCTCCTATCAATTAGGAGAGAAAGTAATACCTTCTCGGAAAGGTACAGACTAAGAACTCCATCCCTCTAGGAGAAAGGGGCATTATTTTTCCAATTTCTCTTAACATCACTAAGCTTTCTTCTTTGCTACAAGTGATTGGCAATAACAGGCTTTCTTCTACTAAAGCAAAAAACTTCCTAGGAGTTTTGGTGTTGATGACGTCATTTTAATATTTGCATTTGCTTTGTAAGGCTATACGTCTTTGGTTAATCTTTTTTGAATTGAGATATAATTCACGTACCATGAAAGTCACCCATTTAGAGTGTACTACACAGTAATTTTCATACATGCACAGTTATACAACCATCACCACAATCTGATTCCAGAACACGTTCATCACCCTGAAAAGAAATCCTGTACTTTTTTTTATTATTATTATAAATTTGGTATTTTTATGGTGGACAGTCACCATTTAAAAATACGGAACGCTTCACGAATGTGTGTGTCACCCTTGCGCAGGGGCCACGCTAATCTTCTCTGTATTGTTCCAACCTCAGTATATGTGCTGCCACAGCGAACACAATCCTGGACTTAGTAACATCCTGCCTGTCCTGACACCCCCGTCATCCCTGGCAACCATAATGTACTTTCTGTCTGTACTGATTTGCCTGGTCTGAATGTTTCACATACACGGAATCATAGTCTAAAGTTTTGTGTGTGGCTTTTTTTCACTTGTAATAGCTTATAGCTCATAGCAATACTGTTTTCCAAGGTTTATCCGTAATGTAGCGTGTATCAGAATTTCCTTCCTTTTTATGGTTGAATGATATTCCATTTTTATCTATTTATCAGCTAATGGACACTTAGATTGTTTCTACTTTTTGGCTTTGAAGCAGCTGCCATGAACATTCATGTACAGGTTTTTGTGTGGACAGAAGTTTTCATTTCTCTTGGGAGTGGAATTGCTGGGTCATATGCTGACTCTATGTTTAACTTTTGAAAAACTGACACCTGTTTTCCAAAGTAGCTGCACCATTTCACATTCCTACCAGCAATGTATGAGGAGCCCAATTTCTCCACATCTTCCTCAACATTGTTATCGTTCATCTTTTTATTATTATTATTATTTATTAGCATCCTAGTGCGTGTGAAGCAATTCCTAAGACTTTTATTTTATGTTTTTGTCTTTAATGCTGGGTTCCATTTGGAGGAGGGTTACAGACTTGCATGTGGTCACAGGATGCTCATAGCTTATAATAAAGAAATGGCACAATGGTGATGTATTTTGCGGTCCAAAAGAAAGTCAATGAAGTAGCTGGTTTACTTTAGGCCATTGCCTCTTTGAAAACTGGGATATTTTAAAGAGGCTGTAGCTTCCCCCAGAAGCAAGCTCTCCACTGATCCTGTAACAAGGGCAGAATCCACAGAGATGAGTTTATCTGGGTGTGCTGGGGAGTTAGGAATGGGTGAAGGTATGCACTGGCAGACAAGAAGGTCCCACTAGGACAGGGAAGCCACCAAAACAAGGATAGTATGTCTCCACCTGCCATCTCTGCTTCTTGCTTCCCCTTCTCCTTATTCTGGGAGCACCTGGCTTTCTCTGGCCCCCTGCATGACAGAATAGGACTGTCCAGAGCTCCCATGATAATCTGTTACATTCCCACCTATTTGGAGAATCAGTTAGTCAACCTCCTGCTTATGATTTTTAATATGTTTTTTCAAACTATACAAATATGCTCAGAGACCGACCTTCTGCCTCCCAAAAGAACAATGCTGGAACATGCTAATTGAGTAAACTTTCTTCTAGCTCAAGGATCCCAAAACACTATGCTGCTACCACTCAGTTTCTCTAGAACATTCTTTTTAAAATAACTTACAGAAAGTTGGACAAAGGGATTAGTCTCAAAGTTCATAATTAAACTCAATTGGATTGCATGCTTCATCCCCCACGTTGAGAACTGAATGGCACCACACATTTCTGACATTAAACTCAGTCTCCACAGTCAGGGATGCTCTCACCACTGAGATATCCAAGAAAATAGGCTTGGTAGATATTATTGAAAGGAAAGTTTCCACAGTGATTTGAGTGATGGCAATGTCATGAAAAGTGTTAAGAACCTCTCTCTGCCTTTGAAGGGAACTATACTCTTTTCATGAAACATACCACTTATAACTAAATGTGCCTCAGATTGTTAGAGGTTAGTGTCCCGACTATTTTCCTGAAATGAAATTTACTTACATTTAATATGCAAGTCAATGCAAAGAATCCTATCTGGGGGGACTTTATTGTGCAGTAACACTCATCTCTCTTCTCTAGCCCAAAATTGTGGAGCTCCTAAATTTGAAGGATCTTATGGAAAATTATACCTGGGAATACAATTTCAGTGACATCGCTGACATGACCTTTGACCCAAACTCTTTCGTATGTCAGCCAGAAAATCTGGATATCAACAGGTTTGCTCTAATAGCCGTCTATGTCCTGGTCTTCTTGCTGAGCCTGCTGGGAAACTCCCTGGTGATCCTGGTTGTCTTATATAGCAAGGTCAACCGCTCTGTCACGGACATATACCTGCTGAACCTGGCTATCGCCGACCTGCTCTTCGCCCTGACATTGCCTATCTGGGCTGCCGCCAAGACCACGGGCTGGATCTTCGGCACACCCCTGTGCAAGGTGGTCTCACTCCTGAAGGAAGTCAACTTCTACAGTGGAATTCTACTACTGGCCTGCATTAGCGTGGACCGCTACCTGGCCATTGTTCATGCCACACGCACTCTGACTCTGAAGCGGCACTGGGTCAAGTTCATATGCTTAGGCATCTGGGCCCTATCTCTGATCCTGGCCCTGCCCATCTTCATCTTCCACGGGGTCATCTACCCACCTTTTTCCGCCCCAGTCTGCTACCCGGACATGGGTGTCAATACAACCAAATGGCGCCTGGTGATGCGGGCCCTGCCCCAGACCATTGGCTTCCTCCTGCCGCTGCTGATCATGCTGATCTTCTACGGGCTCACCCTGCGCACACTGTTCCAGGCCCACATGGGGCAGAAGCACCGGGCCATGCGGGTCATCTTTGCTGTCGTGCTCGTCTTCCTGCTCTGCTGGCTGCCCTTCAATCTGGTCCTGCTGTCAGACACCCTGATGAGGCTGGGGGTGATCAAGGAGACCTGTGCTCGCCGAAATGAAATTGGCCGGGCCCTGGACGCCACCGAGATTCTGGGCTTCCTCCACAGCTGCCTCAATCCCCTCATCTACGCCTTCATTGGTCAGAAGTTTCGCCATGGACTCCTCAAGATCATGGCCATCCATGGCATGATCAGCAAGGAGTACCTGGCCAAGGAGAGCAGGCCTTCCTTTGTTGGCTCTTCTTCAGGGAACACTTCTACTACCCTCTAAGACCCCCACTGCTATTGTAGCCGCACTCCCATCAGCACCCAAGCCTCATGACTATCGTCCACTGGCTATTCACAGTGTCTGTGTCAAGACAGCCTCACATTGTGGTCACAGAAAGTTGCTGAGGCTATGACGATACCTGGCCCCCTGATCTGGTTCAGAAAGCCTGCCCTGGCTCCCCACCCCTTACTGTAGTTATATAGGCCAGGATCAGAGATAGGGCCCAGATGCCTGAGCATAGATACTGCTAGAGTTCTGTCCATCCTACCACTGAGCCCATAGTGTTGAGCCCAGTAAATTCTGGAATCCACAGACCACCAGGGAGCCGTGTCCGATGCAAAGGCAGAAAGTCTTTATTAATTCTATCCCGGCCTAGGGTCCGAGCCAGGGCGCCAGCGCAGTGGCACTCACCCGTTCCAAACTTGGACTGGCTCCAAGCTTCTTTCCCAGGTTTTATACTCTAGCCCAGCTATGCAAGCAAGCACCCTTGCCCTCCCCCACCTCCCCGCTCCCTTGCGTAAGTCCTCTTTTGCCGTTGCGGCATCTCCGGGGTGGTCGGGTGGTCAGTTGGCCATCTCCCGTAATTACAGGTAAGACTGGTCTGTTCCCGGGAGGTGCATTCCACGGCGGTCAGCTCAGTTCCCGGGAGGAGAATTCCACAGCGGTCAGGTCGGTCGATGAGATGAGTATCATGAGATGTTGTACCTAAAGGGTGAGAACCTCCCTCGGGACCTAGCCTGGCTTTAATGTTTATCATAAAATATTGCATTCTGGCTTTACTCAACCTTACATTTAGTGCTGTATTCTGTTTTTCTCAACCTCACAATAGCACTCTGTCCTCTGAGACATTTCAAAGACATCATTTTAAGTGAGTTCCAAGAGTTCCCACCTTTTTGGCTCCCCAGTAGTGACAAACACTGTAGTTGCTTCCCTAACTCCCACTTTTCTTGCTTCCAAGCAAAGTCTGTTTCTCTTAAAAGAGGCCAAACATGACAGATACTCACTTACATGACTTCCCTGAGCTAGGAGTGGCCACATCGTCCAGTTATGGGTAGAAAGACTTACAGGCAAGACTGCTAGTGAACCAGTCTCCTGGCAGGAGTGAGGGGGGCGCGGAGAGGAGAGACCTGGTTTGTAGTGTTTGCCAAGTCTCCTGTTATAAATTTCCCCACGATGGCCATTTCAACAACCGGCTCACAGATTTCTAGAAAATGTAATCATCTGTTTCCACAAGCAGGTACAAACTGGCTTCAGCAAAAACATTGTTAAGAGGAGTCTGCTGGGGCCAGGGACTCGTGAGAAATACTCCTGATTAAAAAAGGAGAGATGCACACACTTACACATCCTTGGATCTTGCCTTGGAGTAAGGTTATAGGATATGGTATGTGGCACTGAGGTGCCAATTGTGTGACAATGAGGCAAAAAGCCTAACACACGTAAGCTGATGGAGCCAAAGGATAAAAGAACCTGAAAATCAAGAGCCCCACAAATAAACCTAAGCAAGCATAATAAAATATCTGGCCCCTTACCTTATACCAGATATAAAAATTAACTCAAAATAGATCAAAGACCTAAGCATAAGAACTAAAACTCTACAAATCTCATAAGAAAACAAAGGGGTAAAAGCTTTAAGACATTGGATTTGGGCAATGATTTCTTAGATATGACACCAAAAATATAGGCAACAAAAGAGAAAACAATTAAGTTGGTCTTTATCAAAGTTAAAAACCTTTGTGCATCCAAGGATACTCTCAACAGAGTAAAAAAGCAAACCACAGAATCGAAGAAAATATTTGCAAATTATATAACTTGTGAGGGGTTAATATCCAGAATATATAAAGAATTGCTTCAGCCAAAACCGATTTGGCTCAGTGGATAGAGCATTGGCCTGCAGACTGAAAGGTCCTGGGTTTGATTCCGGTCAAGGGCATGTACCTTGGTTGCGGGCACATCCCCATTGGGGATGTGCAGGAGGCAGCTGATCAATGTATCTCTCTCCTTGATGTTTCTATCTCTCTCCCTTCCTCTCTGTAAAAAAATCAATAAAATATATTAAATAAATAAAAAAAAAAAAGAATTGCTACAACTCAACAGCAAAAATAAAATGACACTTAAAAATGGGCAAAGGATTTTGACGACATAAATTTCTCCAAAGAACACATACAAATAGCTATGGAAATGTATATACTAATAATTATGGAAATGGATATCAAAACCACAGTGAGGCACCACTTCACACCCATTAGGATGACCTTTGTTAAAACAAACAAAAGAAGTGTTGGTGAGGAAATGGAGACACACTGGAACCCTCGTGCATTGCTAGTGAGAATGCAAGATGGTGCAGCCACTGTGGAAAACAGTATGGTGGTTCCTCAAAATATTAAACATAGAATTATTGTATGATCCAGCAACTCCATTTCTGAGTTATAGCCAAAAGAACTGAAAGCAAAACTCCAATAGGTATTTATACACTAATGTTCATAGCGTCATTATTCCAACAATAGCCAAAAGATGGAAATAATCCAAATGTCCATCAATGGATGACTGGATAAACAAAATGCGGTGTTTATACCTAATGGAATATTTTTCAGTCTTAAAAATGAATGAAATTCTGATCTATGCTATAACATGAATAAATTTTGAAAATATTATGCTAAGTGAAATAAGCCAGACATAAATACTGTATGATTCCAGGTATAGGAGGTACCTAGACTAGTTAAACTAATAGAGACAGAAAGTCAAATAGTTGTTACCAGGGGGTTAGGGGTAGGGGAAGTGGGTAGTTATTTAAAGGATACAGAATTCAGTTGGGATGATGAAAAGGTTCTGGAGATGAGTAATAGTGATAGTTGTACAACAATGTGAATATACTCAATGCCATTAAACTGTACAATTAAAATGCTAAACTTTATTATGCATATTTAACCACAAATTTTTTTCTTAAAAAACCTACTTCAAAAAGATAAACTCTGCCCTAACTGGTTTGGCTCGGTGGATAGATCATCAGCCTGCGGACTGAAAGGTCCCAGGTTCAATTTTGGCCAAGGGCATGTACCATGGTTGCAGGCACATCCCCACTAGGGAGTGTGCAGGAGGCAGATAATTGATGTTTCTCTCTCATCAATGTTTCTAACTCTCTATCCCTCTTCCTTCCTCTCTGTAAAAACCAATAAAATACATTTTTTTTAAAAGACAAATTCTGGAACCACCTACCTATAACTTCCTGTTAAGTGAAATAAATGTGTGTTTTTTTCACAAATCACTTTTATGTTTTGTTGTTATTGTTGTTTTATTGATTTCAGAGAGAGAGAAAGGGAGAGGGAGAGGGAGAGAATAACATCAATCATGAGAGAGAATCATTGATCGGCTGCCTCCTGCACACCCGACCTGTGACCTCCTGATACATGGGTCAACGCTCAACCCCTAGGCACGCCGGCCAGGCATGTACAAATCACTTTTAATTGGGTATTTCATTACTTGCAATAAAAAGCATATAAACTGCTACATAGAAGCTGGGCCAGTGTGAGCAGAGTTCCCTATTGGGGGTCTTAATAATAAATAAATAAATCCCTTTGCTGTGTATTAGGTACATGGAGAGAAGGACTGAAATAGAGATGGAGTCTAGTCTTTCTCAGCCCAAGCCTCCTGCTGCTGAACACACATTACGGAAAGAAAGGTGCCCCAGGATCATCTGATGCTTCTCCTGTCTTTGGGTGAAATAGTAGTCAGGCGTGTCAATGCTGGGACTCAGAAGGGCACAACTATCACCACTCTCAATCTCCAGAACCTTTTCATCATCCCAAACGGAATTCTGTATCCTTTAAATGAGGCCCGCGGCCTGCGGTCCGCCGGCTGCAAGTAAGTCCACCCAATCAGCTGACTGGATAGCAGGAAGCCTGAGCGCTTTCTTGAACTCAACCAGCAACTCCCACTTTGAGTTTCACTTCACTCTCTTGTCTCCCACCCTTCACCCTTCACACACACACACACACACACACACACACACACACACACACACACATCATTCAGGGTTTGACAAAAAGGGAACCCCAGATGGAGAAATGATTGAGAAGATGTCACCCAGACAAACAAAGAACTTGACTCATTCCTTACAGTATGTAATGAGAGCCTGTTGCTCTACCTCAAAACCCAGGCAGAGCTCCCTGTCATAGGCCTCATCTCTGAAGGGCCTGGGCTCTAAGCAGCCTGCTAAGGAAGTAGGAAAGCAGGAGGACCCAAACTTCAGAGTCACCAAACTTTTACCAGGTACCAAGGGGATAGCAGCCATGGCTATGAAAAGAGGCCTATGAGGCAATAGAGAGAGAGATTGATTTCAGAGAGGGTGAGAGAGAGATAGAAACATGAATGATGCAAGAATCATTGATTGGCCGCCTCCTGCACAAGCCCCACTAGGGATGGAGCCACAATCAGGGCCTGTGCCCTTGACTGGAATCAAATCTGGAACCCTTTAGGCTGCAGGCCAAGTTTCTATCCACTGAGTCAAACCAGCTAGGGCATCATCAAAGTGCTCTGCCTTTCACATTCAGCAAACAGGATTAATTCAGCAACAATAATCCCTTGTTCCAAGCTCACGCCACGCCAGGCACTGTGCTAAGCTCAGGATCAAGTATGGCTGTGCTGCTCTGGCCAAGCCTTCAGAACAACTTCTGACTCAGCGGGAGGGAAGGCAGGGTAACGAGTATTTAACCAAACATCTCAGTTGCTGGAGGGACCAGTGTTCTGGCTGGGCAAGGTAGACCGACCAAACAGCTACCTGACATGACTGTTGGTGGGAGAAGGCCAAACCAAGTCTCACTCTGGTTCCGGGACTCTGCTTTCCTCCTCCGACAAGGGCTAGAAGAAACCTGGCTGCCGTGACCGGTAAGAGGGTAAAAGAAGCACAGACGCAATGAGGCAGAGCCAGTGTTGCCCTGTTTCTCTTTCTCTTTCCATATTTTCCTTCTCCTCTCTCTCTCTGTCTCTCTGTCTCTCTGTCTCTCTGT